GACCTATGTATCATCAGAATGTTTTCTTTGACCAAACCCAGTATCGCCCAAAATGTGTATCTGTCTGTCTTCACTGGTTTCTCTAGGTGAGTGGTAAAATAATAACCCATTACAGTCATTCCTCCTTTTCTTCAGAAGAACAGTGTATCTTCAGAAATCCTGCTCTGTCCCAGGGCCATATCCTCCTTTAGATAAAGTATCTAATGCTGTTTGTTTCTGAATTAGGTCAAGCAAAATGTTTAAATTCCAATAGGTGAGGTTAGGTATGTTATAAGACGATGGATACCCAGTTGGTTGATCTTTGTGCTCTGAAAATCTCTGATACTCAGTTAGTGTCCAATCATTAACCATGGAGAATTTAAGATTAAGAGTGTTAGAAAAGGGAGAACAATGGATCTATCGTTAACATTAATCATATTTAGCCTTGAGTTAACGTTTTAGGCCCTTACCAAATAGAATTAGATCACTTCAGGTAAGCAGATACAGGTATCTAGGAATGTCAGGTATTCCACTCCCAATTGTGTAAGCATAGAGAGAATAAAAAAGGGGGGGGGTGTAGAACAACCCAAAGCCTATACATATGTATAAATCTAGGGAGATTCTAGTACTTTTATTTTTTTAAACCGCCCAGTGAAACAAACCAAAAAAAAAAGTTTGAACTCTTACATAAAGTCTGAAAGATTGTCTTAACTGGCATCCTTCTTCCCAGCACTCCCGAGATTAAGTACTGTGGACTTCCTGCTGGAGGAAGGCATTGCTCAATCACTCTGGAATCCTTTGGAACCCTTTGGACAGGCATTAGGCAGAGCAGGCATCTAAAACTGCAGTCTTCCTTTACTTGGAGCTCGGAAACCAGAAGCCAGACTTCTGAAGCCCTTTCCCTCACTCTGCTGTTCTTACATTCCCAAGTTAGATATTACCCAAATAGGCGACAGATTTTATCTCCGAATACAAACTGTTGCTTTTATTGGTACCTTCATAATTTTATATTAAACTCACTACACCCTATTTTAGGATTTTATGTGAATATTTTCAAGATAGGTTTGGCACAATTGCCAAGAACATAGTAAACTGAAAGCTAAGTAATTAAAATAACTTAGGTCACATCTTTCAGAAGACAAGAAAAAGGGTCAAGGTGAAGATGCCAGAATTTGAGAAGTTATCAGAAATCACTACTAAAACTTCCTTTTGCAAAAATGCAGTGACCACATATTCATGGCCATTGAGTCAAACCTACCTCAGAGGGGCCCTATTAGGAAAAGTAGAACTGCCCCTTCTTCTCAATTCCCAAGGCTGTAAACCTTCCCAGGAGCAGAAAGCCTCATCTTTCTCCTACAGAGTGGCTGGTAGGTTCAAACTGCTGACCTTGTGGTTAGCAGCCCAATAAGCAATCCACTCTAGCACCAAGGCTCTTAAGGAGCACCGAGCTTTAAAATGCAGTTCTGAGTGGCAGAGTCTAGGGTACACCACGTCCTCCAGGCTTCTCATTCTGTTATTTCATAAACATGTACTGACCTCCTACTATGGGCCGGACCCCTGCCAGGACTATCTGTCACAAAAGACCTCAGAGTTCCACTGGAAACCCCTTACATTTTCCCCTCGTGGAATCTTCACAGTCCTGTCAAATAGCAACCTTTGCCAATTCTAGAGGAACTATTTATAACAACTTGTTTTTTGATTAGGAGGCCTGGTGGCATAAGTGGGCTGTGCATTGGGTTGCTAACTGCAAGGTCAGCAGTTCAAAACCACTAGCTCCTCTCCTCTAGGAGAAAGAGGTAGCTTTCTACTCTTAAATTTTAGTCTTCCAGAAACCGGCAGGCACTGTTTCTACTCCGTCCTTCCTATAGGGTCGCTATGAATCGCAATTGACTCGTTGGCAGTGAGTTTTTGGTTACGATTGGTTGGTTGGTTCTGTATTTGAATTTTTTAAAATGGTCTTTTAATGTATGTGTAAAGTCTTTCTGTAACGCAGAATAAACTTTTGTCTCATTTCGGGGCTAAAAGAGTTTTTTTGAGTCGCACCTTCTGTACTCCTCTTACAACCCCCAAGCAACATGAAAAACTTTAAACACCTTTTTAATAAGAGCGCGCCAGCGCCCGTCTGGAGAGAAGCTTGTTTCACACCTGCCCGGACCCGCTTGCCTTGCGCCTTAGGTGGCACGGCCGCTGGGCTCTCCCGGTGAGGAGGGGCTCCGCTCGCCCCGCCTTCTACCCACTCCGGATTGGTCCTAAGAGAAAGCCAAGCCCCACCCACTCGGGCCCTGAGGGCGGGGCCCCGGAGACGCCCTGCCCGGCTGCTGGGAGCAGAGCCCGCCTGTGCGACCCGTGCAGCTGTCTGGGGGCCCAGGAAGTCCCCCGCCCGTCTCGGGCTGGGAGGTGCAGCCCAGGCCCACGTGGCGGCGGCGGCTGCGTGCGGGCGCTGCGGGGAGCGCCGGCGCCGCCCCTCCCAGGGCCAGGCTGGACCACCTCGGCGCCCAGTCTCCCGACCGCCCCTCGCCCCCTTCGTGCCGGTGCGCAGGGCCCATCCCTCGGGTCCATTGAAGGGGAGAAACGTATCTTTTAAAATGAGCCGCGCCGTGCAGACCCAAACCTGCCAGGGAACCCTGCCGGTCACCTCGTGACAGTGTGCGTGTATCTGCCCCTTGTTTGTTCCTTTCTTCTTTACCTTCCCTCCTCT